AGGGTGTTTGCCTTGTGCGCAGTCAGCCCAGCCAAAGCGGGTTCAATTCCTCTGCCCCTCTTGGAGAGCCCGGCAAGCTACTGATAGTATCTCACCTGCATGGCAAAGCCTGGCAAGCTACCCGTGATGTATTCAATATGCCAAACACAGTAACAACAAGTCTCAAAAATGGAGACATTACTGGGCCCACTAGAGCAAACCCATGAACAACGGGAGGACAGTTTGTTTGGTTTCTTTTGACCTAATAGTTACAACAACAGGCAACAGTTACTGTTCTTGCTCTCATATTGTCTGTACTCTAGAGGGCATAAATATTGTATTATCTTCATGAAAAAAATAACAAATCTTTCTTGCTTTAAGTATTTTTTTAAAAATTTGTTTATTGGGCCACACCTGAAGTGCTGAGGACTTACTCCTGGCTCTGTGCTCAGGGATCACTTTTGGCAGTGCTTATCAGTGCATTATGTGCATCAGTGCAGTATGGGATACTGAGGATTGAACCTGGGTCAGCTGCATGCAAGACTGTGACCTCCCCTCTGTCCTATTGCTCTGGTCTCATTCTTTGAGAATTTTATATTATAAGATAATCGTATTGAAAAGTGAAGCATAATGTATATGTGTTTCAACAATCAAATATTTTCCATGTCATGTGGAAGACAGGATACTATTAGAAGGATTACATGAGTTAGAACATGAGCAGTGCTTAAGATAGTAAGTGCTTAATGAATGTTAGCTATTTCATGTGATACTTGATTTATTTTGCCATCTCTAGCTGACTCACTTAGTTTATTACAGTTATTTTTATCTCTTAAACCCCATCTCCAAGGGGGTCTATTTGTTAGCCAGAATTGTCTTGCTTAGATTCTAGTAGCAACCTCCTCCCTACACAAGTCTCTTTCTATCCAATCTGTTTTCCTCTTTGGCAGCGAACATACATTGATTATCTTAGTTTCCTGTTGCTCCCATAAGCATTTCCATAAATCAGGTGCTAAAAATAACACAACTGACTCATACTTCTGTAGGTCACAGATCTGTATTCAGTTTCACTGGGCTAAAATAAAGGTGTATTGGTGCTTATATTCTGTCTGGAGGCTCTAGAGACAATTTCTTTACCATATGCTATATTCTAGACGATCCCTCCACCATTTTATGTAGATAGTTCAACAGGATGAGTGTATTCAATGTGTATGCAATGTGCTTTGCATGTGGAGAGCCTAGGTTTGATCTCCATCACCTGTTTTCTCCCAAGTGACTCCCTGAGCACAGAGCCTGAACAAAAAAAAAAAAAAAGAAAGATTGTGATTATATTGGAACAAAGCAGATATTCTAGTATGATATGGTATGCCCGTTTTAAAAATCCTTGACTCTAATCATATTGACAAAGTTCATTTTAGCACATAAAGTTAAATATTCACAGGTGTTGGGAATTAAGAAATTAACAGATGTATTTAGGGAGGGGGGATTATTCTGCCTTTCTCTGGCCCTATAATGTCATAAAATAGTGCCTAGATACCTGTATTGGTGAAAATGAATATTCATCTCCCTCCCTTCCTTCCTTCCTCCCTCTCTTCCTCCCTCCCTCCCTCCCTCCCTTCCTTCCTTCCTTCCTTCCTTCCTTCCTTCCTTCCTTCCTTCCTTCCTTTCTTCCTTCCTTCCTTCCTCCTTTCCTTCCATAAATATACTCTCATATACTCATAACATTTTTTTATTTTTCCCTACTTTTAGAACTAAAGACTAAAATACGAGGAGAGGTGTCTAAGGTCTGGACCAGTTTCTTTGAGCTTATTTATAGACTTTTTTTTCTCACCTTGCTCTCCAATTTCCACTCTAGTTCTTCTACCTCTCAGGATATTGCGATGGCCCCAGCTTACCCCAGCCCTTTCATCTTCCCTCCAGCCCCCTTGACAATTGAAAGCAAACTGCTTCTTTGGGGAGCACCATGTTTCTATGCTCTTTAAATATTTAGCTTGCATGCAATCCCAGATCCTGGACTTTTCCTTTCTAACACTTGATCTTAACTTGCAGTTTTGCTTTGCTTTTTTTTTTTTTTTTTGCTTTGTGGGTCGCACCCGGCTATGCTCAGGGGTTCCTCCTGTATTTGCACTCAGGAATTACTCCTGGCGATGCTCAAGGGACCATATGGGATGCTGGGAATCGAACCCTGGTCGGTTGCATGCAAGGCAAATGCCCTATCTTCTCTGCTATCGCTCCAGCCCCATTAACTTGCAGTTTTTTTATTGGTGTTCTTTCTTACTTGTTTCATTCATAAGCTCTGTGAAGGCAGTAACTTTTGTCTGTTGTATACTGAATGCAATTATTTACTCAGTGTTCAGGAAATTATTGTTAAATGGATGAATTAAAAATGAGTATCCTGTGTATATACGAAGCTGGAGTGATAGCACAGTGGTAGGATGTTTGCCTTGTGCTCAGCCGGCCCGGCCAAGCCAGGTTCGATTCCTCTGCCCCTCTCGGAGAGCCTGGCAAGCTACCGAGAGTATCTCGCCCTCACAGCAAAGCCTGGCAAGCTACCCGTGAGGTATTCGATATGCCAAACACAGTAACAACAAGTCTCACGATAGAGACGTTACTGGTCCCGCTTGAGCAAATCGATGAACAACGGGAAGACCAACATTCCGACCAACATATATGAAGCAGCTTAAAAAAAATGCCATTATTGTATTGTAGCCCCCAACAGAACATCCTTTGCATTATAGAAAGTTTTTTCTCAAGAACAGAATGAAAATAAATACTGGAAAATTTTTAAATAAATACTGGATAATCCCAGTAATTGTTACATTTTGATAAAGACACATTTGCACATCACATTACTCTTTGATTTTCCAGACTGCCTTTCCATCTCTTTACAAACTATATTTAAGATTTAGCTATCTAGCCCAGTGTTTCCCCAAGTTGACTCTACTGCCCCCATGGGGACTGCTGGAATGATGCAAGGCCTCAGAGTAATTGGGGGTTGGTTTCTGTCTATTCATTTAAAGAAGCTAGACAGCGGTAGGGCGTTTGTCTTGTGCGTAGCCAACCCGACCGACCCAGGTTCAATTCCACTGCCCCTCTCGGAGAGACCGACAAGCTTGCCGAGAGTATCTCGCCCGCACGGCAAAGCATGGCAAGCTACCCATGACATATTTGATATGCCAAACACAGTAACAACAAGTCTCACAATGGAGATGTTACAATGGGAGGACAGTGACAGTGACAGATTTACAGAGTGGCATTGAGTAATTTTTTTTTTTTGATAAAGCGGCCTGTAGCACTGTCCTCCCATTGTTCATCGATTTGTTCAAGCAGGTACCGGTAAAGTCTCCATTGTGAGACTTGTTACTATTTTTGGCATATCAAATATGCCCGGGGAGCTTGCCAGTCTCTGCTGTGTGGGCGGAATACTCTTGGTAGCTTGCCGGGCTCTCTGAGAGGGGAGGAGGAATTGAACCCAGGTTGGCTGCGTGCAAGGCAAATACCCTACCTGTTATGCTATTGCTCCAGCCTGTAGACTGAAAAAATGTGGCATCATTCGGACTAGCACAAATATAGTAGATCTTTTTTTTTTCTTTTTGGGTGACACCTGGCAATGCACAGGGGTTACTCCTGGCCCTACACTCAGGAATTACTCCTGGCGGTGCTCAGGGGACCATATGTGATGCTAGGAATTGAACTTGGGTCGGCTGCGTGCAAGGCAAAAGCCCTACCCACTGTGCTATTGCTTCAGCCCCCTATAGTAGATCTTATTGACTAAGAATTCCCCAAGTTGTAAAATAATCTTTATTCAGAATTTATATTATAAGTCATAAATGGTTTACCTGGCTTGAGCCTGTTAACTATAGAACAGTGAGTCTTCATTGACGTTAATTCTGTTAGCACTGATGTTTAAGAGAAATCTCCCAAATTCAGATGTTAGTTTCTTTTGAATATATTTTACACAAACAACAGCAGCAAAAAGCGACTGGTATTTTATATATAACTCAGCAGATTCCTTTAACTTCATTTATCTTTAAGTGGGTTTCTATTTCATTTGACTCTCATTTATGTCAACACAAATTTATTTATTATCCTAATTCAAAGTACAATATTTTGTATTGATTAGGCCTACTTTGATTTAGATGAGTTATCCTCTTCATTGGGCTGGAGCGATAGCGCAGTGAGTAGGGCATTTGCCTTGCATGCGGCCGACCCGGGTTTGATTCTTCCATCCCTCTCGAAGGGCCCGGCAAGCTACTGAGAATATCCTGCCCACATGGCAGAGCCTGGCAAGCTCCCCTGGTGTATTCAATATGCCAAAAACAGTATCAGTGGGGGCTGGAATTATAGCACAGTGGGCAGGGCATTTGCCTTGCACGTGGCCGACTTGGGTTCGATTCCCAGCATCCCATATGATCCCCGAGCACTGCCAGGAGTAATCTGAGTGCAGAGCCAGGAGGAACCCCTGTGCATCACAAGATGTGACCCAAAAAGCAAAAAAAAAAAACACGTTACCTGTGCTCACTCAAGTAAATTGGTGAACAACAATGGGAGGACAGTGCTACAGTAATACAGGGCTATCCTCTTCATCACATATTCAGGTACTTCTTGAAAGACAGAACTTTTGGTATTCTATTGAGAGAATATTAATTGAAAAACAATTAAAAATGCATGATTTTTGTTTTATCCAAATCTATTGATATCCTATTATTTACATTTAAGTAAAAATCTGAATAAATTCATTTATTTGGTCTCTCTCTCTCTCTCTCTCTCTCTCTCTATATATATATATATATATATATATATTATGTCTGGTTGTGTGGTTGATTTATCCTTTGCTGTGAACTTTTGTTTTCTGTCATATGAGATATCAATTATTTATTATCAAACATATTAGATATGAGAAATGCATAAAACAGACTTATTTATTAATCTCTTTATGAAGATTTATTTAGCAATTACATTTTATGTTTAACTTGTTCTTTAAGAATCAATTTAAATGAATTGTGTATGTGTTTTTCTTTTAGAGTATGTTGGATAAAGGATATTGTTGTTGCAGTAACAGGAGAGAATATGGAAACAATGAGAAGTATTATTAAGAAGTATCAGCATAAGCGGATCTCCCTAGTGGAAGCAGGAGTGACCCGCCACAGGTCAATTTTCAATGGACTAAAAGCACTGGCAGAGGATCAACCTGATTCGAAGCTCTCTAAACCAGAAGTAGTGATTATTCATGATGCTGTGAGACCATTTGTTGAGGAAGATGTCATCTTTAAAGTTGTTATAGCCGCTAAAGAACATGGGGTAAGTATACTTCTGAGACTGGATAAAGAGGCAAGCCCTGTAGTATTATTTGCTTGCTCGATTTTGATAGAATTACATTTAAATGTTAAATTATTTAAAGTAGGCATGATGATTTAAAAATATTATGGTGATGTGTTTTAGGAAATATATAGTAATGTAGAAAGTGAGAAAGTTTGAAAAATATATATACTTATGTACATATATGTGTATATTATACATATAATTTATGTGCTATTTTAGTTGAATGCTATTTAGTTGAATACTAATTAAAATGGTATTTAAGATGATTGATACTATCTAAGTAATCATTTCCTCCAAGCAGCATAGGCCAACGGAAGGAGTTATTTAGGTCCTTTTTTACCTATTTGGGTAGCTAGGAAATGCTAAATCTCTATTTGGGAAAGAATCTGATTTCTTTTTATTTTCCTTTTATGCGTTTGAAATTCATCGTTAGGAAATTGTCTCTAGTTTCAACTCTTCTCCCTACAGTATGAGTTTATTATAAATTTCTACTTGTGTAAGAGTTTCATAGATTAGGTGAAATATTTTTATTTTTATTTTTAACATGGTTGCTAAGTGGCATTTGGATTTTGAAAAAATTGTGTTCCAGGAACATCAATGACTTCACAGTTTCCATGGCTTATAAACTCCTGTGACTTCCTTACTCTTCTCCAGATTCATCTGTAGTAGATGTACTGTGCTCAATAAATATATGGCTAAGGACGAAAATCAGGAAAGGATTGTAGATGTTAGGAATCTGGATAAAATTTTACAAATTTGAAATAGTTTCTAATGACACAATTTGGGCAGAAAGTTGGAAGAGTTTTGGGGGGTGATTTGGGCCTCACCTGGTGGTGCTCGGGGGTATATTCCTGACTCTGCTCCTAGTAATTATTCCTGGAGGGCACCTGGGACCATCTGAAGGGCTGTGAATTGAACTTGGGTCAGCTATGTACAAGGCAAACGTCTTACCCACTGTACTATTTGCTCTGGCCCCCAAAGTTTGAATTTTTTTTTTGATCACACCTAGCAGTGCTCAGGGGTTACTCATGGCTCTGCACTCAGGAATTACTCCTGGCAGTGCTCGAGGAGCCATATGGGATTCTGGGGATCAGGCCATGTGCAAGGCCTTAAAAGATTTTTTTTAATTTATTAATTTATTGAATCACTGTGGGAAAAGTTACAAAGCTTTCAGGTTTAAGTCTCGGTCATGCAGTCATCAAACACATTTCCCTTCACCAGTACTTATTTTTCACCAAAAAGAACCCCAATATACCTCCCTCCCAACCCTCCCAATGCCAGTGAAGCAGATGAATTCTAGTTAACACTCTATCTACTTTGATTAGATTCATTGTTTCGACAAAAGATGCACTATTATTATGTAGAGTTTACACCCCGAAATCAGATCTGTTGAAAAGACATTGTGAAATAATTTGTTTCTATAGCTGGTTACAAGGATCAAATGATGACGTGCGGCCGCGATAGCCATCATCAGATTTTGGATTTCTGATATTTTACTTATTAAGCCTGGAAGTATTTCTGCTGAGAGTCTGATAATTATGAGACTGGTTAAAAGATTTTTCTTGATGAAGTTTTTTCTCTAAATTCAATATGAGATTTTTTCTCATTGGCTTTTTTACCTCCTTTATTTCTAACTCTGAGGTTTCTTTGTTTGTTTTAAAATTTTTTAGAATTGAATCACCGTGAGGTACAGTTACACGCTTTCATGTTTGAGTTTCAGTTATACAAAGATCAAACACCCATCCCTCCACCAGTGCACATTCTCCATACCCCAGTATAATCCCCCTTTCCAACCTTCTCTATGCCTCCATGGCAGATAATATCCCCCATACTCTCTACTGTGGGGCATTATGGTCTGCAATACAGATACTGAGAGGTTATCATGTTTGGTCCTTTATTTACTCTCAGTATACATCTCCCATCCTGACCGATCCCTCCAACCACCATTTTCTTAGTGATCCCTTCTCTATTCCAGCTGCCTTCTCCCCAGGTCATGAGGCAGGCTTCCAACTAGGGGACAATATTCCTGGCCCTTGTGTGTACTCACCTTGCTGACCCTGAGGTTTGATTCTGTTGCTGCTTGGGCCAATTGATTGAGAGACATGGTCACAGGTTAAGAAAGAATTTTATTGGTAACAAGTTGACCAGCTAGAAGACTGACAGAGTCATATCCTTGAAGTAACCATTTTGTCTGTAGATCACAAGAAACTCTTTTGATAGAGAAAGAGAACAGGCAAGCACATTTTTAGAAAGGGTGGCTGAAGATCAGTGGATACCAGAATGAACATTGAATTTCTTCATGTGCTCATCACCTGAGACACTCTATTTTATATGCCAGCTTATAGTAAGGGTTAGGTTTTTTGTGTGAGATAAAGATGGGGACATCTTTATTAGAAATTATTAAAATAATTTCTATGGTTAATATTAATGTTTTAGGAATACAATGCTGCTATGCCACACCTCCACACAGTCATCATCTGAATGTACTTCAGCATCACTAAATGTGCTTCCTCTATCAATATCCTAACTCACTTAGAGAACTGATTTCTATAGGCAGACTCTTTTTTGGGGGGGGAGGGGACACACCCTGCAATGCTCAGGGATTACTCCTGTCTCTGCATTGAGGAATTACTCCTCGCGGTGCTTGGGGGACCATATGGGTTGCTGGGAATCGAGCCCAGGTTGGGTGTGTGCAAGGCAAATGCCCTACTCACTGAACTATCACTCCAGCCCTTAGGCAGACATTTTTTTTTTTTAAATTAGTGAATCACTGTGAGGTACAGTTACATACTTACAAACTTTCATGTTTGCGTTTCAGTCATACAATGATCCAGTACCCACCGCCAGTGCCCATTCTCCACCACCAATGGTCCCAGTATCCCTCCCACCACCCCACCCCATCCCCCCACCCCTCAGTAATCATCAGGGAGATGCGGATCAAAACGGTGATGAGATATCATCTCACACCACAGAGACTGGCCCACATCCAAAAGAACAAAAGCAACCGGTATTGTCGTGGATGTGGGGAGAAAAGGACTCTCCTTCACTGCTGGTGGGAATGCCAACTGACTCAACCCTTTTAGAAAATAGTATGGATGATTCTCAAAAAATTAGAAATTGAGCTCCCATTTAACCCAGCAATACCACTTCTGGGAACATATCCGAGAGAGGCAAAAAAGTATAGTAGAAATGATATCTGCACTTTTATGTTCATTGTAGCACTGTTTGCAATAGCCAAAATCTGGAAAAAACCTGAGTGCCCAAGAACAGATGGATACTAGATATCAGTGGATACCAGAATGAACATTGAATATGATGTTAAGGAAACATTGGTACATCTACACAATGGAATACTATGCAGTGGTTAGAAAAGATAAAATCATGAAATTTGCATGCAAGTGGATCAACATGGAAAGTATCATGTTAAGTGAAATGAGTCAGAAAGAGAGGCACAGACATAGAACGATTGCACTCATCTGTGTAATATAAAGTAACAGAATAGGAGACTGACACCCAAGAATAGTAGAAATAAGGACCAGGAGGTTTGCCCCCAGGGCTTGGAAGCCAGCCTCACATACTGGGGAAGAAGGCAGCTCAGATAGAGAAGGGACCACCAGGTAAAGGGTGTTGGGAGGACCCGCTTGGGTTGGAAGATGCCAAATGTAGACAATAGACCTAGGCAGACTTTTAAGGTCTATTAACAGTGGCATTTTTAAAAATGTTCCCTTGCTATGTTACTTTACAGTATGCATCTGTGAGACATCATTTGGAATTTTTCCTCTCTTTGACTCACTTTGCTTAGCATGAATTCAGTTCCATCGATTTAGCAGCAAATTGTAGGATTTCATATTTTTTAGAGCTGGGTAGAATTCACACACACACACACACACACACAAACACACACTGCTCTTAGAACAGCTTTTGCTGTGTCCTTCATATTTTGTTGACTTATATCTTCTTTCTTGTTTCTAAGAATTTTTCATTTTTTTCTTTGGCTTCCATTTTGACCCATTGGTTGTTCACAAGTTAAGTTGTTCAACTTCGAAATGTTTGACTTTTCCCCAGATTTCTGTTTGTGACTAATTTCAAAACATTATGATTTCAGAAGACACTATGAGATTTCTGTCCTCTTGATTTTATAAAGACTTGTTTTGAGTCCCAGATGTAGTCTATCTTGGAGAATGTTCATGTTTATTAGAAAAGAATGTATTTATTTATTTATTTAGGTGGGGATTTGGGCCACACTCGGTTGTACTCAGACTTATTCCTGCCTCTGTACTCAGGAAACACTACTAGCAGAGATGAGGGGACTAGAAGGAATGTTGAGGATCAAATATGAGTTAGGGTGCTAGAGCGCATTTGTCTTCCATGTGACTGAGCTGCGTTCGATTCCTGGCATTCCATATGGTCCACTGAGCACCGCCAGGAGTAATTCCTGAGTACAGAGCCAGTAGTAAATCCTGAGCATCACTGGGTATGACCCCCCAAACAAAAAAGAAACAAAAACCAACCCCCCCAAATATCGTAAGCTCATTTACTGATTTTGTTCTAGAGACTCATAAATAAATCTAGAAAGAAATCAAATAGCTGAATAAATTTCTTGGACATCCAGGATACTCTTGGAGGGGGTGGGTCAGTGCCCACCCAAACAAAGCCCTGGCAGCTCCTTTCTCCCACACTTCAAAGTTGCCATCATGACTTCTGGCCAAATTCCATCAACTCAGGACCAAGTCTCACAGAGAACTGGAACTAAACCTACTGAAAACTCAGGTACACAGGTCCTGTGACTAAACTCCAGGCCTTCTCAGAGTCAGGATGGGCTACCTTCCCCACCTCCTTAGAATTTCAGAAGCCCTGGCAGTCACACCCACACCCCAACACTGTTGCCCAGTTAAAAATTTAATTTCAGCTGAACTGCACAGTTAAAAATTCTGAAATTTCTGGAGTACATTTCCAAACACTACAATACTGACAATCCA